AAAAAAAAAAGCACCTTTGGGACTCACAGTGATCCGTCTGTCCACGGATGACAGTGACGTTGCTTAAATCCCTTCCTCCAAAGAACACATGAAATGGTGAGGAATATTTAATTTTCTACCCTTGGATGAGGAAAGAGATGCGTTTAAGTATGTTCCCGGTGCTGTATTTTTCCCGTGTGCAGTTTCTCCTCTTCTTCCCTTGCCTCACTTGTCTAACCTGTTTCGAGGGCGAGTTAACTCAGTTGCAGGAGTTAGCAGATCAGGCCCGTCCCGTGAGCTTAGAACAAGCCTAGTTGGTGTGTTGCAGCTGCTGCTTAGACAGGCCGGCAAGTACCTGACTCCCAAATTCATCTCGGCAAGTTCAGAAAGTTCAGAGAGGCAGAAGTTGCTAGAGGACAGCAGCGGTCAGACTCGCCGGCAGGTAAAACGCGCAGGGCAGCAAATGCCACCAGTAGAACCTCGCATCCCTTCCTCAAAAGGAAGTTTACAGGGCTGCCTCAACTTAAACGACCAGGAGTGGGATTCAGCCGGTTCGGGACGGTTCGAGAGAACCGGTTGTTAAATTTACATCTGGTTCGCCGAACCAGTAGTTACTAGTAATGGCGAACCTTTTTGTTGCGATGTGCCAAAAGCTAGCACCCACAATGCAATGCCCCGCCCCCTTACTTGCACTGTGCATGCGCGCACCTCCCAGATGATTTTTGGCCCATTTGAGGCCATTTTCACCCTCCCGGAGGCCTCTGCACCCTCGAGAGGCCGAAAAATGGGCCTTCCAGAAATACCGGAAGTGCCCGTTTTCAGCCTCTGGAGCCCGAGGGAGGCCATTTTCACCCTCCCAGAGGCTCAAGGGAAGCCTCTGCAGCCTTTGGAGGCCGAAAAACGGGTCTGTTTCGTCACGTCTGGTATTTCCGGAAGGCCCGTTTTTCGGCCTCCCAAGGCTGCTGTGGCTTCCCTCAAAAAGGCCTCAAACAGGCCGAAAATCAGCTGGGAGTCGCACGCATGCGCAGCGCAGGTGATTTCGGCTGGGGCTCCCATGCCCACACAAATGGCTCTTGAAATGGGTCACTTTCCTGCTTCCAGAGGGCCTCTGGACTCCAGGGGAGGCTGTTTCTGTCCCCCCAGAAGCCTGAGGGAAGCCTCCGGACTCTGGGAAAGACAAAAAAAAATCAACCCTCCCAGAAATTCTGGTAGGCCACGCCCAACCAACAAAACGATCGTTGGGATTTTTGAATCCCACCCCTGCTTACGACCGCAAATGGAGCTCAAAAAGTTCCATCGTTCCGTGAGACGCTTATTTACGTGAGGTTGGCCACGGTCGTTAAGCGAATCACTACCGTTTTTTAGGTGAGTCGCCCAGGCGTTAAAGCAAATCGGGCTTGACTTTGCTCGCCAGAAGGTCGCCATGACCCTGGAGCATTGCAACCGTCATAAATATGAGTCATTCGCCCAGTGGTCGTAAGTGTGAAAATGGTCATAAGCCACTGTTTTCTGTGCCATTGTTAACTTCCAACAGTCCCTAAACAAAAGGTTGGAAATTCAGGACTACCAGTTGTAATCAACTTCTCCCCAAAGGGATCCTGCTTTATGATTTTTATTCCTTCTGATCATTAAAACCCATTTCTCTTCTGAGTTATTAGTCCTTTCCTGATGCTGTTTGGAACAAGGACCTGGGAAAGCAGAAAGAGAGATGGGGATGTATTTGTCCCTCAAGGGAGAGAGAGTTGAAGAAGTTCTTCTATCTGCACTTCTGAAATTCTTTTTTTATTTCAGGGATGCACAATTTTCTAGAAAGCTGATCGCAAAACCGTAGATGGCAATGCATTTTGAGAGTCTGGAGGGTGGTTTGTTTGTTTTTTAAAGGTTGGCTTCCACTGGCTCCTTGGAGAAACCTTGAAACAGATAACCAAATTCTTCCAAAATCCATAAAATTTAAGTATTTAACGGTGCCCCCATTTATTATTAATTTGTTTATTAAATGTAAACACTACCCATCTCCCTCACAGAGTTAATTCACAGTGGGGAAAAAAAGGTCTAAAAATCTTATAAAATTGCAATACGTCAATCAGAAGAGCCAGATAAAACCAAGAATTAAGAGTAAATTATTAAAAGGCTGCGTTGGAGTGAAAATGCTGGATTTGCAAACTGCCTGAATGCTTTCGAGGCACCATTTTCCAAACTTGGCCATTTTAAGATGCGTAGACTTTTAACTCCTCAGCCAGGAGGATTCTGGGACTTGAAGTCCACACATCTTAAAAATGGCCAAGTCCGAAAGAAAAAAAAAAGCCGTTTTAAAAGACTAGAAAGCAAAACAACCTCCACTCCAAAATGATGATAGGTACAGGGCCTTTCACTAGCACCCCCTACCCACCCCCTAGAATTTACCTTAACCCTCCCCTCCCCTTTTCTAATCGTTTTTATTGCTTCTCCCCACCTTCAGTCTATGGCCTCAGCAGCGCAGGCTGGGCTCCTGAAGCAGCAAGAAGAATTAGAAAGGAAAGCTGCAGAATTGGACAGAAAGGAGCGTGAACTGCAGAACAGCGCAGCTGGCTTTGACAGTGAGTAATAACAGCGTTGGAAGGGACCTTGGAGGTCTTCTAGTCCAGGGGTCGCCAACCTTTTGGACCTCAGGGAAACTCCTCATTTTAAATCCCACGGACCAGAGACCCTGGGGAAAATCCCCCCCAAAAAAATCTGCAGGAAAATTCCCCCCACCCCATTTTGGTACTGATCAATCATTCTTCATTTGGGATCGCAGGACACCGTCTCCAGTTCCGTTCTCAGGGGGAGAGAGAGAGGGAGAGAGACTTTTGGCTTCATGCAAGGAAAGCAGCAGAAGTCTTTCTTTCTCTCTCCCAAACTCCACCAGAAACGAGTCTTTGTGAGAGTTGTCATGCCGGCACAGCCTCTTGGAGCAAGGATGCTGTTTGGTTTACAGAACTTTAACTTTCATTCCTACAAAGCGTCAACTCTTTCCTTGACTAGCCATGGACACATTTTACTCCAGGCTTCATAATACTCTGTCTCACCCTTATCTTTGATTTCTAAAGTTAATCTGTCCATCTGCCCTGACTAATATTTTCCTTATTATTTCACTTTCTGTAGGGGTATCTTCCTTCTTCCAGTTTTGGGCATACACCAATCTCGCCACTGTTATTATATATATCATTAAATATATTGTTCGTTTACTGTGTTTCTCGTTAATAATTCCCAGCAAGAACGTTTCTGGTCTGAACTCTACTCTGCTCTCTGCTCTTTAATGCTCACCCCCTCCCCCAAATAATAAATGAGGAAGACATCTACTCCAACCCCGCTCCTCAGGGCAGGCTTCCAGATTCCGGCACTGTGGTGGAAGCCCTTCCTAGAATGTGTTCTCTTTTCTCCACTCCAGCAAAACAGAACAACTGGCCCCCGCTCCCAAAGATTTGCCCCATCAAGCCTTGCTTCTATCAAGATTTCTCTGCGGAGATCCCAGCAGACTATCAGCACGTTTGCAAAATGATGTATTACCTGTGGATGTGTGAGTAAAAGGAGGGAATCGAAAGAGGCCTGGGAGCTTTCTCCGAGATAATGAAAACATCGAGAAATATTTTTGTTTAATTTTTTTTTTTAAAAAAAAGGTAAAAAAGAACCAATTGGAGGTGCACGGTCGATGTTGCCAATTTCCATTTCCACCACAACTTGAACCTCTAACTAAAAATGATCCTTAGCTCCGTTCGTTGGGAAAGGTCTAGTTTTATTAGAAGTTGAAGGTTATCACAGTCAAGCATAGCCAGAACCCGAGAATTGCGCGCCAAACATTCCCGACGTTTAACTTGCCCCTCCCATAACTGTTTCCCATTGCTGACTTCCACCCCCTCCCAAACCAATCAGGTTCAAACAAGTTTGTTTTCACAGCGGTCAGTTCAAACGTAGGTTGGCATGCAGCTGCTATCTTCACCCAGCCGGGTGATCTTGAGGTAGCATCTCAGGGAGATAACAGCATTTACTTTCGTTTCCCCCCACAAGTGTTCTGCCTCCCATCCATCCTCCCCAGAGTTCGTGGTAGACTGTTACCACATGATAGCAAAGCACAAGCAAGAGTAAGGTGGCAGCTGGCAAGGAGTCCCTTCTGCCACGTGGGTGGAGGAAGAAGGTTAAGGGGAGAAGCATAGGTTCCTATTAAAAGCACAGGCATTAATATTATGATGCCATTAAGATTTTAAAAACTGAAGAGGGAAGCACCTCTGTATTCTCCAGAGGTCCATAAAAGTGGATTTGGTTCCAAAATGAACCTCTCTGTGATGACCCAAAGGGGCGTGGCACAAAAGCAACCAAGTCACAAAAGTAGGTAAAGTCCCTTTAATGCCTCCAACTTGGCCTCCAATGTCCCGTTATCATCGGCTGGAGAAAAAAACTCTTCCAAGAAAGGGAAGAAATTCTGTCCAAACCCAAAGTACATCTAAATTATAAATAAAAACCAACATAAACCACGCTGCAGCAATTAACGAGACAGGGCAGGATAAGGAATTGCAGACTTCAAAAGATAACAAAACACATACAGTTGGGAGGATGCCAGAACCCAGATAAGACTTGACAAACAAAGATAATTCACGCTTTGCTTCCACCAGAGTGCTGTGCGCAAACACCCTTTTTTAAATCCTGTTTTCCCAGCTGCAGCTAATGAATGGAATCAGGACCCTTTTCTCCCCGTAACCCCCATAACCCACGTTGCTCCTTTCTAAGTTCCTCCCTGCGTGCCCTAGGATGCAGGGTGGGTGGGCCAGGGTCTGCCTCTGTGCCCTTCCCCAGTTTCTTCCACAGCCACCGGAGCCACACTCCCACTCCCTGTCAGCTGCTCAACCTCCCCCTCAGAATCAGATTCCATCAGGGGCATGACACTCTCCTTAAACTGTGCGTAAAGTGGAGTCTCATTGCCCTCTGGATTAGGAGTAGCACAAAAGAGTTTCACTTTTAATTGGTTTAACCAAGATTTAGAATAGAATAACAAAGAGCTGGAAGGGACTTTAGAGATCTTCTAATCCAATCCCCTGCTTAGGCAAGAAACATTTCAGACAAATGGTTATCCAGTTTAACCAGTAACAGTTGAGAAGGTGTTTTGCAGAATGAGCTAAGGGTCCCGAGTAGCACGGGGTGTGTATGAGGGACCCTTTTGGACAACCTGGTTCATCGAACGGAGGTATGACTGAAAGAAGTTGGTCGAGACTCCCTCTTCAAATAAAACAGTCCTTTAATCCTGTCTGTGCAAAGCACAGAGCGTGTGACCACTCCAGAATTTAACATCCTTTGCGGTGACAAGAGCATCCCTATTTGTCGTGCTCACGGCCTCGAGGAAATCCCCTCCCGCAGTTGGGGTCTTCAGCAAAGCTTTTTCGCTGATTTTTTTTTTTCTCTTGTTCTCGCCTGGCCAGTTCACTCGGTCACCTTGCTGTTAAACTTCCTCGCCTGCCTGGCAGTATTCACAGTGGAACCCACCACCACGGGATCAGATTTCGGCCTGTCCATCTTATGGCTCGTCTTGTTCACCCCCTGCGCCTTCCTCTGCTGGTATCGGCCAGTTTACAAGGCTTTCAGGTGAGTACCACGTCCCTCCCGGAGGGCAGGGGTGGCACCTCGTGTTTAAAGGAGCCATCGGTGGAATGATCCATCTGTTGTGGCCCGCCGGCGGCTAGCGGAGCTGGCAGCAGAGTCAGACAGTGAGGAGGTTGGGGAGGAACCTGGGCCAGTCCTGGAGTTATCAGCTGCCTTCAGAGTCGGACAGCAGTGAGGCAGAAGAACAGCTGGAGCCTGTTCCCAGTGTGCGCATGCACAGAGCTGCCAAAAGAAAAGAACAGTTATGAACTAAGGGTCGATGTGGGAATAAGGCCACAGGTAAGCGGTGCATGGCCCCTCACATAGGGATTAAAAGGGGAGGGGGCTTTTGCAGGAAACAATTTGTTCGTTGCCGCAGTGGGAAGATCTGTCTGGGCATCTCAGAGACACTGTGCCGAGTCCTTCCTTGTCAGCACTGCGTTTGGAAATATTTACTTGGCAGCTCTCCAAGCTAGAGAAGGCCCGTGCTCCTAATTACACCCTTGAAAGGCTGTTTGCCAGGCCGTTGGCTGAATGCGAATGCCAGAAATTCACCTTCATTTAATAAAAATGGTTTTGCCGGGACAAAGAGCCGGTTTAAGTGCTTTTTGGGGAAGGCTGAGGTCAGAACACGGTTGGGACAGCCCCTGGCTTGACTCTCTCTCTCTCTCTGTCTCTTCCACAGGTCTGACAGCTCCTTCAGTTTCTTTGTCTTCTTCTTCATATTTTTCTGCCAAATAATCGCCCACATCGTCCAGGCTGTTGGTATCCCTAACTGGGGGAGCAGGTAAGCCTCGTGGCCATCCCGAAGCCCTGATGGACAGAGCAGGCTCTTCTGCTAGCGGACGGAAGAGAGCTGCTGCCTTGGGGGGGTCCCCTTTTTCTAAAGCCTCTTCTGTGTTTTTTTTCTCCTCCTGATCTGCGGCTTCCACAGATCCCAGCTGAAGCACCTCTAACTCCACCTAAAAGGCCTGTATTTCTAACTTTTTCTAACGCATCCCACCTGTGCTGTGCTCGCCTCCCCTTGCATGTTTTCTGATGCGTGAATGGTCGGCGCACTTCTCTCTCTCTTTCTCCGCCCTTCTCCCTCTCCTCTCTCCCTCCCTGTCTCCCACTCTTTTTCCTTCTCTCTTTCCCTCCCTCTCTCTCTTTCTCTCCCCCTTTCTCCCTCTCACCTTCTCCTCTCTCTCTCCCTCTTTCCCCCTCTCCTTCTCTCTCCCCCCGCCCTTTCCCTCTCTCTTTCCCTCCCTCTCTCTCTTCCTCTCCCTTTCTCCGTCACCTTCTCCTTCTCTCTCTCTTCCTGTCCCTCCCTCTCCATCCCCTTCTTCCACTCACTCTCTTACCTCTCTATCTCCCGTTCTCTCCTCCCTCCCTCTTTCTCTCCCCCATTCTTTCCCTCTACCTCTCTCTCCCTTTGCTCCTTTCTCTTTCCCCCTCCCTCTCTTCCTCTCTTCCCTCTCTCTCTCTCTCCCTCTCTCCCTTTACTCTCTCCTCTCCCTCCATCTCCCACTCTTTCCCTCCCTCTCTCTCTTCCTCTCCCCCCTCTCCCTTTCTCCCTCTGTCACCTTCTCCTTCTCTCTCTCTTCCTGTCCCTCCCTCTCCATCCCCTTCTTCCACTCACTCTCTTACCTCTCTATCTCCCGTTCTCTCCTCCCTCCCTCTTTCTCTCCCCCATTCTTTCCCCCTCCCTCTCTCTTCCTCTCTTCCCTCTCTCTCTCCCTCTCTCCCTTTACTCTCTCCTCTCCCTCCGTCTCCCACTCTTCTCCTCCTTCTCTCTCTTCCCTCTCTCTCTCCCTCTCTCCCTTTCCTCTCTCCCTCTCCCCCCCTGTCTCCCACTCTTTCCCTCTCTCTTTCTCTCCCCTCTCTCACCTTCTTCTCTCTCCCTCTCTCTCTCCCTCTCTCCCTTTCCTCTCCCTCCCTGTCTCCCACTCTTTCCCTCCCTCTCACTCTTCCTCTCCCCCCCTCCATTCTCAGGGGGAGAGAGAGAGAGAAGGAGAGACTTTTGGCTTTATGCAAGAAAAGCAGCAGAAGTCTTTCTTTCTTTCCCTCAAATGCTGCCAGAAATGATTCTTTGCTGGCGCAGCCTCTTGGAGCAGGAGGCCTTGCAGGGTCCCAAAGACTCATTTCTGGCGGAGTTTGGGGGAGAGAAAGAAAGACTTCGGCTGCTTTCCTTGCGTGCAGCCAAAAGCAGAAGAAGAAAGAAGCGGAAAGAAGCAGCCCGGTGGCCAGGCCAGGCGAGTGGGTCAAGTTCCCCCCCCCCTCCGCCCTTTCCCCCCTCCCCTCATTACCTCGTGTTGTTTGCAATGCAAGCGACGGAAGCCTTGTGTTCCCACCGGCCATGTGGGTGGCGCAGCCTTGTGTTCCCGCGCAGCCTGGATTAATGGCTTTGGGGGTGACATTTCTCTGCAGACCACCAAAATTTTCTCGCAGACCATCAGTGGTCCCCGGCCCACCGGTTGGCCACCACTGTTGTAGTCCAATCCCCTGCTCAGGCAGGAATCCGTATACAATAGCAGACAAAGGCTTGTCCAATCTCTTCTTAAACACCGTTGGAGCATTCACCACTTGTAGACATTTATTCCTGGCTGCTACCTGTGGAAAGCACGACACCTTTAGGCCAAACAGGCCTCTGTGGAGCAAATTCTGCAGCAGAAGAGACATTGGTTCATGTTTTTCCAGGGAGCTCTTTAGAGGAACCTGCCAGGGTCTTTCATACAGCTGGCCTCCTGTCTCTGGAGTCTTTGATTCTCCCTTCCCAGGGGCAATCTGAATTCCTACTCATTCAATATTCCCCTCTTCCTTTTTCTTTTTCTTTTCTTCTTCCAGCGGCTGGATTTTTGCCTTCTCCGCGACCCAAAACCTGGCTGTGAAGATTATCATGGTGGTGGTAGCCATGTTCTTCACGACCTGCGCCGTGCTCTCCCTCTTCCTGCTGAAACGAGTGAGTGGCCTTGCGAAAGGACAAGTGATTGACAGGGGTCTAGAACCAGGGTTGGGATTCTACAGGTTTGCATCTATTCTCTGGAACCGGTTGTTAACATTCTAAGCAGTTCGGAGAACCGGTTGTTAGAAGAAATTACTGGGCTAATCCTGTAAGGAAGGCAGGAAGGAAACATTCTGGTGTTGCTGACAGAAACTGCCTCTCCACTAACCCTTATTACATTCTTGGCAGGACTAGACTTCCTGTCTCAGGAACCTCTCTGGAGTTTTTTCCCCCCTCCTTTGCTGGTACTTTGCTTGTGTGGAGGGACCATTCAAAGTTACAATGGCACTGAAAAATGTGACTTATGACCCTTTTTCACACTTACGACTGTTGCTGCATCCCCACAGTCATGAGAGGCCAGGCGAGGAGATGCGGGCCTCGATGTGAGTGATATTGAATTGGCCACACCCAGCCAGTCACATGTCCACCAAGCCATGTCCACCCAGTCACATGACCACCTAAGCCATGCCCACGGAACCGGTTGTTAAAAATTTGAATCCCACTCCTGTCTAGAACCCTGCAGTTATCTCCATATGGGTCTTCGAGTGGCCTTCCTTCCTTCTCCTTTTCCCATGGGGTGAGGGGGGGAGGGAAACTTCGAATGGTCACTAAACGAACTGTTGTAAGTCCAAGGACTACTCGTATGCTTCTATAATGTTTTTTGTCATGCCTGGGTGGATGTTTGCCCCATGAGTGGTTCACTTGTGGTACCAAGCCATGGTGCCAATAAAGGAGAATATTTGCAGCTCAGGGTTGACATGAGGGGTCCTTGGTGCTCTCTGAGCTTGGTGGCTTTCTTGCAGACGTTTCATGACCCAGATAGATAACATCAGCAGTGCTAGAAGGGAGGTGGGTTTTTGGAGAGGAGGAGGAGGAGGAAGAAATGGGAGAGGAAGAAGTAGTATAGGAAGACTGTGGGACTCTGAGCTTGGTTGCTTTCTTGCAGACATTTCATTACCCAAACTGGATAACATCATCAGTCCTAGAAGGGAGGTGTTTTTTAGAGAAGAGAAAGAGGAGGAAGAATAGGAGGACAAATGGGGTCCTTGGTGCTCTCTGAGCTTGCTTGTTTTCATGCAGACATTTCATGACCCAGCTAGGTAACATCATCAGCGCTAATCCATGGGTTTGTTGAACAAAATTGGCCATGGCGATGCTGCCACCGCTGTCAAACATGAGGAGCACCCTAACTTTAAACTCTTGCTCAATGAAGGGCTGTAATTCAACCCGTACAACATTTGCATAAATGGCCAGCGTGCCGCCAATTTTGCGCCGCTGGGGTTGGTGGTCTCATCCAATGGAACAATGGGCTGAGCGGGGCCAGCCCTGGACCTGCCGGCGGGGCTTTTCCTGAACATCTCACTGTCAGGATTCCAGCGATCGCCCCAATTCCATCATGAGCCTCGAGCCAAACTTCAAAAGTACTTCTGTACTTCATACAGAACCTGTACGAAGGCCGACGCTGAGACACGTAGTTTGCAACCGCCTGTGACTCTCCCTTCGCTTTCTCCCCTCCCAAAGGTCCACTCGCTCTATCGCCGGACAGGCGCCAGCTTCCAGAGAGCCCAGGAAGAATTCTCCCAAGGCATCCTCAGCAACAGGAACTTTCAGACGGCGGCTAGCGGAGCAGCTTCCGCGGCGACTCAGAATGCTTTCCAGGGAAACTGAGCTTCCCCAGCGAGGCGCCTGCTTCCGTTCCTCACGGTACCTGATCGCCCACGTTCAGGTGGTCTTCACCCCACCCCACCCCTTCCTGGGTGCCAGCCTTAACTCCCACGAAGCTCACAGGAAGTTTTCTCTCCAACTTTGCCCCCCCCCCCCCCCCGCCCCCGTCTCTCCATCCGCGTCTTGTTGGAAAGTGCAAAATTCAGGAGTGCCTAAAACCCTTTGGTGTGATTTTCTTTGTTTTTTTTTTTTCCTCCCTTCCCTCTTTCCTTCTTCGTTCCCTCCCTCCTTCCTTCCCTTCCAATATACATATCTTGTTTTTTTACTGAAAACGTGTGTGTTTCCTGCACTTTTCTTTCCTTTGGGCCGGGCGGTTGGGGGGGGGGGGGCGGGAAAAAAAGCGATTTTTGCACTCTTGACTCTCCCGCCGGAAGCCTCCCTGAACAATTCCTTCCCTTCGTCTTCCTGGCCGCTGCCTTTGATGATTTTTTAATGAGCTGAAGATCGTTAACCGCCAGTGTAGGATGAGCTGTATAGTACGGGCTGTTTTTTTTTTTCCCCCCTGGTATATGTTTTCTGGGAGATGCGAAAGGCACAATTTGTGGCAGACACTCCTGGCTCCCCAAAGCCAGCAAAGCAAACCAGGTTTCCTATCTGGGGGTTGGAATTTTGGATGGTTGGGGAAGCATAAAGATTTATTCCCCAGTCACATTAAGCCCCCTGAACATTAGCAACCTGGATTTTGAAAGGAGGTGATGGGGTTTCAGGTGAAGCAGTGCAGCAAACCTTGAGATGAAGGAGACAATTATTTCTAATTCGATTTTATTCAGTGCTGTCATATATCTGCTTTGGTCCCTCTGCCCTCCTCGCCCAGCCTCAATGCAACTGCCAAAGCAAACACTTCTTCAAGGAACACGTTTTAGCAAAAGCTCCCGTTTCTCAATAATAATAATAATAATAAAATAGGCCTATGGAAACACCTCCTCTGATTTTTACCAGAATTTTTTCCCCCCACAGTTGCCGGCACCTTTAGTTTCAAAATAAAATTTGGAGAGAAAAAGACCAGAGTTTTACCCAAGGCTTGTTTGGAGCAGAATGGATGACAGGCAGCTACCTCCAAAATCTTAAAATCTCTTTTTTTATTCAAAGCTGAATGACAGCCGTTAAAAAAAACTTTCGGCCTCTCCTCGAAAGGCCCCGTTATGAGTTCTCTGCAAAACGAATCAGTGTAAAAAGAAAATTTTAGATCCCTCCTCTTCTGGTAGGCTGGATCGATGGATCAACTTGAAATTGGGGATATATAGCTCTCAAAAACACTAAGCGCTCTTTGGTTACTTCCATTGACCTAATTTAAGTGATCTAAGATGCACATCTTACAAGTATCTTTTAATAAATCCGATGAAGGAGAAACATTCAAAGGGCTCAGATGCATTTGCAGTCCCACTAACCATTTCCCCCCCCCCTGTTTTTTATTTCTTTAGGTAAACTTATGTGTCTTTCTCTCCTCCCCACAAATACATAGGTGTTTAGGGTTGGTTGGTTTGTTTTTTTCCACCACGGATGTTTCCAAACCTTTCTGAGGTTGGATGTACCATAGCGCATCCCATAGGGAAGTATCTCTTGGTTTCTGTCTCTCTCTCTCTCTTTATTATTATTATTGTTATTCTTTGAAGATATATAATGATGGCGGAAATTAGATTTTTTAAAAAAAATAAAATAAAAATCTTCCCCTCTTGGATTTTCCACCTCTAATTTTTTTTTTTTTTTTTGGTTCCTGTAAAAAAAAATTGTATATGTCAAACTTTTGTGGTTAAATGCAGAATAAAAATATCAAGACTTAGTAGAACTGTATTTTGCTTTAAATTGTGTGTTCCTTTGAATGGCATTAAGCATCAGAGCTCTTGCGTTTTTCTTATTGCCTTGTCTCCTTCTGTTGCTGGATACCTTTGTTTCTTTTATTTTATTTGTTTGTCAAACATGTACAAGATAACAAGTAGAGGTATGAACATAAAACACGAACCAAGGAAATAAATACAGATAAATAGGGACAGATAAATCTTGATGCGTGTCCTTCAAAAGATGAACAGGAAGCAATGCAAACCGATTTCTGGAGGCAGCTCCCAAAGGAAATGATTCAAGGAATCATTTCCGGGCATCCTGAGACAGACAGACAATCTTAGTGGCTGTTTGCACACTGTCCGATTTTCTGACTTTACAAGACACACCCAGTCACAAACACGACAGAGGCTGGGCTTGCACAACAGGCTTTGACACATGACACACACACACACAAAAACACAGGGAAGGAGGGAGTTTGTATCTCACTTTTATTATTGTTTTTATCAATAATTCAAGGTGGCAAACCTACCTCCATGCTCCTCCCTCCCTCTTATTTCCCCCACAAATACAATCCTGCTCGGTGGGCTGGATTCCCAGCTGGCTTTCATGCCTAACATGGAACCAGAACTCTCCCATCACCCGTTGTTTGGCCCAGACTCACCCAGCTGGCTGTCATGTTTAACGTGGAACTAGAACTCACCGTCTCCTGGTAAATAGCTCAAACCCACCCAGCTGAGTTTCTTGCCTAAGGCAGGACTGGAACTCAGTGTCTCCTGGTAATTCGCCCATAGTCACCCAGCTGGCTTTTGAACCTAAGGTAAGACTCTAGAACTCACTGTCTCCTGGTAATCAGCTCCAAGTCACCCAACCACGCTCTCATGCCTAAGGTGGAACTAGAACTCACCGTCACCTGGTAAATGGCCCAAACTCACCCAACCATGCTATCAAGTTTTAAGGTGGAACTACAACTCACCATCTTCTGGTAATTGGCCCATAGTCACCTATGTATTGAAGGCAAGACTAGAACTCACCATCTCCTAGTCACCCAACCAAGTGGAACTGCAACTGTCTCCTGCTTATTGGCCCCTTAGTCACCCAGCTGGTTTTTATATCCAAGGAAATCACCACCTCATAGTCACCCAACCAAATGGAACTAGAACTCACCATCTAGTTATTGGCCCATAATCACCCAGCTGGTTTTTGTACCCAAGGCAAGACTAGAACTCGCCATCTCCTAGTCACCCAACTAAGTGGAACTAGAACTCACCGTCTCCTGGTAATTGGTCCATAGTCACCCAGCTGGCTTTTGTACACAAGGCTAGACTACAATTCACCATCTCCTAGTCACCCAACCAAGTGGAACTAGAACTCACCGTCTCCTAGTTATTCACCCATAGTCACCCAGCTGGTTTTTATACCCAAGGCAAGACTAGAACTCACCATCTCCTAGTCACCCAACTAAGTGGAACTACAACGCATTGTCTCCTGCTTATTGGCCCATAGTCACCCAGCTGTTTTTTAGACCCAAGGCAAGACTAGAACTCACCACCTCCTAGTCACCCAACTAAGTGGAACTAGAACTCACCGTCTCCTGGTAATTGGTCCATAGTCACCCAGCTGGCTTTTTGTACACAAGGCTAGACTACAATTCACCATCTCCTAGTCACCCAACCAAGTGGAACTAGAACCCATTGTCTCCTAGTTATTCACCCATAGTCACCCAGCTGGTTTTTAGACCCAAGGCAAGACTAGAACTCACCATCTCCTAGTCACCCAACCAAGTGGAACCAGAACTCACCGTCTCCCGGCTTCTACCCTGGTGCCTTCACTCCTGGACCAAAACCGGCCTTAAGGGGCTTCCAGTGTCCCATCTTTACCCCAGACCAAGCCGTTCCGCCCCCCCTTCCCCCCCCAACGTCCACCCCCCACCCCCCAAGGAGCTTCCTCGCCCGCAGCGCAGCGTTGCAAGCGGCGCCGCCAAAGCCAGCTTGCGCGCCGCCAGGCCTGCGCTTTCCCGGCCGCTTTGCCAACCAGGAAGCGGAGCAGGAGGAGCCACGGCCGCCTCCGCCTCTTGGCCTCCAAGCGGGGCGGGGGGGTGGGGGGTGGGACGGAGCTGGAGGAGCCCAAGCCCGGCCCGGTTGCCTCCGCCTGGCCTGGCCCCGGCGGTGGCTGCGGTGGAGATGGACGGGGCCGGCTGGGCACCTCCGCAGCTGGAGGATTTCTTGCTCACCGAGCGGTTGGGCAGCGGCACCTACGCCACCGTCTTCAAAGCCTACAGGAAGGTAAAGCCGGGGAGCCCCCTTTTTGCCCAGCCCTGCTGGGGCCGGCCAGCCAAAGGTGGAGCCTCCCCTGCCCGAGGAAGTCTACCTGGAAGGGCAACAACCTGCGCGCCGATTCTTGGGTTGGGGACGCGCGTGCAAAAAACAAAAACCTTGGGGAGCCAGTTGGACAGGAGTCTTGGGGGGGGGGATGATTCACACACACACACACACACACACACACACACACACCTCCTCAGGGGTTTCCTAAAGGTTGTGGTCTTGGAGCCCCTTCCCACTTTGCCCCAATGGGGGTCGAGTTTTGGGGTGCAGGGATTATCTGTGGATTTGGTTTAAAAGTGAAAGCGGAGGCGTGCGCAAAATCCTGATGGGTTGGATGGCGCAACAACGACCGAAAGCAAGGAAATGTTAAGAAGGGTGGGATATTTTTCATGAAGAACAAAACAAAACAAAACCAAAAAAACCACCACCCCTTCCCATATTTTGTTAGCAGGTTAAAAAAAAACAATCACAGGGAGCAGAGAGGCGTTTGTTGGTTGGTTTGTTTGTGTATTATGTATATGTATTTATTGATTTGATTTGTCAATCGCTTACAAAATAATAGGTATAAGTATAAACATGAGTAAGGATACAGAAAATAGGTACGATTAAATGGGGACAACAGGACAGGGATGGGAGGCATGATGGTGCACTTATGCATCATAATAAATAAATATTAAATACATTATTATAAAATAAATAATAAATATGTATTTATTTATTACAGTTTTCTTCCCACCCATCCCCCCTACCCAGGGTTTTTAAAAAAAACCCATTCTTAAAAGCTAAAAAATATAAAGTATAAAACAATTAGTCCCTTTTAATAATTTAAACAAT